GTGATCATTTTTTTCTCTACAAGATCTAACTTTTTCACCTGCTGGTCGACATTGGAGATTTTGTTATCTAAATGCGAGATCTTTGCTTCGATGGTACCCATGGTTTTCATAATAATTTCAAACCAAGGGGGTGGATTCACCTGTGGCGTAGGGGTCACTGTTGACTGCGTTGCACCCTGGACTGCAGAAATGTCTACTTGAGTAGAGGATTCTGTTTCATTCTGTGCGATCATATTTTCTTTTATTTCGGCCAAATTAGATTTGCTTACTGGTGTGGACGTATTTAACGCTGCTTTGAAATCTGTCAGTACATCGCCATACAACACAGAGTTACAATCGGCCAGAGTACTACTCACGTTTATACTATCACAACTGCTATCACTATTACTTACAATTTTTAGATCTTTTTCACTTGTTTTCTTGTTGTTTTTTGGCTGCTTCTGTTGACCACTATATTTTCGCTTTTTTCCCATAATATGCACCACTTCAGAGTGTTCAGAACGTCCTTAATTCACAAAACAATGATAGTGCTCCTGAAGTGCGTGCGTCCTACCCCGCCATATTGTAGATGTGACTGTGACTGGCAACCCCCAAAACAGAGTAGTATACATATTTGCAACACTATAATTTTTTTTTAATTTCAAAGGATCATATATATATAATGATATAATTGGGATTTGATCTCTTTTGTAGAAAATAATAGATATATAATTTAAAATAGAAATACATTTTAAAAAATCTAACCACTGTACAAAAGTACAATAATTTTCAAATGAATCAGTTTAATTTTTCTACTAAAATATTTTTTAAACATTTTTATCAATAATAATATACACATTTATTACTATATGTGTTATATAAAGATCCACTTTCTGTATAAATAAAATCAAATTCTCAAAATAAAAAAAGTGCCGTTTTGACTTTTTTAAAGTGCCGTTTTGACTACTCTCAAGTGCCGTTTTGCATATTTCCTAAGTGCCGTTTTCACCAGGTGCCGTTTTGACTCGTACCCCATGCGAATTTCAAAGGATCATATATATATAATGATATAATTGGGATTTGATCTCTTTTGTAGAAAATAATAGATATATAATTTAAAATAGAAATACATTTTAAAAAATCTAACCACTGTACAAAAGTACAATAATTTTCAAATGAATCAGTTTAATTTTTCTACTAAAATATTTTTTAAACATTTTTATCAATAATAATATACACATTTATTACTATATGTGTTATATAAAGATCCACTTTCTGTATAAACAAAATCAAATTCTCAAAATAAAAAAAGTGCCGTTTTGACTTTTCTAAAGTGCCGTTTTGACTACTCTCAAGTGCCGTTTTGCATATTTCCTAAGTGCCGTTTTCACCAGGTGCCGTTTTGACTCGTACCCCATGCGATGTGTTCCATGCTGTATGTTGTAAAATGGCAACGTTTCGCCTTTCATCATGTTTATTAAAATGTATGCTCAATATGTATGTTCTCTCTCTAAATATAAATGAATACTTTTCGGATTAAAAAAAAATATTTTTAACCCCGCTCAAATTATCCGGATGATAATAGTTATACCGAGCATGGTTTCGTAGTAAATTCAGACTGTAGTACATCCGGTTTGAATACATGTGTTTTCTGACTTTTCGGATAGCCAACTCTTTTGATTTTTGGAACTTATGACTTATGGCAAGGTATGAATGAAATACTTTTGGTTCAAAACCTTGATAAAAGCATCAATATTTTTACAAAAAGTGTCTTCAATCCCAGCTTATCCGATTATCATGAAGGATATCATCATCAGAACAGTTGGAATAGATTGTAGCCAATACTGTAGCATAACCCTTAATCCAATCGCATCATCTCGGGTCTTACCGTCAGAGGTCGGAAAAACAACCTTGAATGTATTAACATCACCGGATGTTAAAAATTTATACATTTCCTGTTTATTCAAATATAGGATAGACGGAGTTAGAAGTCCCTTCTATGGTATATTTTAGGTAATGTCATTACATTGAATAAAGCTAAACTTCAAATTCCACAGATAAAAGGTCTCCATGCATTTATTTCAAAGATCGTGAAAAAGGAGGGTTGTCATGGCGGCTACCATATACATTCGAGGTCGTTTTTCCGCTAGTCGGAAAGGCCCGAGAAGTTGCGATTGCCCTTAATCATATGCATTATGATGATATGGAGGGAAAATATACATAAAAAAGTGAATGTAGGTGAAAGCCTGTCCACTTCTCTGAAGAGAATAGGTTTGTTTAATGAAATAGTTTACTGCTCAAAAGAATTTTTTTTTGTAATGTCTAACCTGATGAGATGAAGATGTAAAAAAAAAACTTAAGCCTTCATAGTGAATTGATATTGATCGTATGTTTCAAAATGCTTATAACAAACTTGGTAATAAAATACAGAACACTTTAAAGCTGAACACGATTCGTAAAAGGAATCTGTCCGCCATTTTTGTTCCCGAGTCTAGCTTCTCTGCAGGCATTACTATCCTCCATATTTCTTACAATCTTTAAATTATTCTACCGCATTCTATTTATACCCCAAATAACCACTGAAACCAACATAATTTTAATTTTTAGCGTCCGAGCTATAAATAGGGCAGCAGTTGGTCACTGTTCAGTGTAATCAGTCTATACCGGTGAAGACGGACGTATGCCATACAGAACTCGGTAGCAAGAGTAATAACGTAATACTTCATCTAATGCAGGAAAATAAGATACCAAATAAGTTTACAATTATAGTTTTATAAGTCAGTGCAATATACAAAAAACACAGATAAACGTAACTGCAATAAAATGTAAAAAAAGGTAATGCAAGATATCCAGCACAAACACGGGTCGCTATTCCACGCTGATACCCGTGACAATAACGCAGTCAGGTGTAACGAATGCAACGTGTATACCCTAGTATTGATGTATGGTAGATAATGCTATCGAAAATGGCATATGCCTATTTACGAGTTGTGTTCAGCTTTAAGTTGAGAAGAAAATTAGTAAATAATCAAGCACAATTAAACTACTTACATACGTGTACATGGTATTGTCTAACTGAACAGACTTAGCTGTCATAAGGTCAAAATTGCAAAAAATAACATGCTTCTAAAAAAATCTTATATCTGTATATAATTATAAGTTTATAACATACGCCACATTCTACATAACTGTAGTGCAGGCAAACAATGAGTCGAGCACAATATCATATTCTGCTGGTGAGCTATTGCATTAGTTTAAATATTTTGAAAAAAAAGACTTGTATGAAATAGTGAATTAATGATGGTTGTCCCGACATAGGAGAAGTAGAATGGTACAAACTAGTTTATGCTCATTTGTTTGAAATTTTTATATGCCTGAATTGATAGATTCGGCACGTATATTGATTTTGTCCTTTCTGTCTGTTGTCAACTTGAACCATTGCCATGACTTTTGAATGGTGAGAGATAGAGACTTCATATTTGGTATGCATACTACGATAATTAAGTCTTTGAAATGCAACAAGGTCAATGACCTTGTGACTTTGACTGTAACTATATGTTAAAATACCTTTTTCGAACTTTTGCCATAACTGTTTATCTGTGTCTGTCTAAAGCCACGAAAAAAGTCACTGGGCGCAAAACTTCCTCTGCGTTGAACCTCTCTGTCAACTTAAACCTTCACCATAACTTTAGAACTATATGAGATAGTGACATCATATTTAGTATGCATACTCCACTTATGAAGTGCTTTCACATGACAACAAGGACAATGATTATGTGATCTTGACTGTGACCTATATGCTAAAAAAAATTGCTTTTTCGAACTTTGTTGCCGCCGGGCACATAGTGTTTTACAAGCGCATCTTGTTTTTATTTTTTCACCCATCCCGGTTGTTGCTAATGCTATTACATAATTAGTTTAAATTAGAATGAAATAGTACCTGAACATAATTTATCATTTCAGAGAGAAGAAAACTGTATGACTTTAAAAGAAAACCAGTGAGATAAAATCATATAAAATGTATGATGATTCAGGATGTTGTCATTTGGTAAGTGGTAATTAAATCATGATTGGTATGTATGACAATTACCTGAAAAAAAAAAAGATTCTAAATTTTGGGTATGTCTTCTAACCACAAGGAACCACAAGGACACCGCAAGGAACCCCAAGGACACCACATGAACCACAAGGACATGTTATTTAATTGTTATGAGTCTAATTATGGTTTATATGTGCAATTTTTAGTCATCTGAGTCACACAAGTGACCTATTGCTAGATGTTATTGTCCGACCTTGTGCTTCCTGCCCGTCTGTTTCCTAATCTTTTGAACAATTTCAGCTTCTTTTTAGCTCTACTGGTCAGGGACCAGAAGAGCTTATGCGATAGTGAGGTATCCGACATCCGTCTGTCTGTCTGTCTAGCTGTCTGTCTGTCTGTAATCAATTTTTCAAAACGCTACTCCTCCTACAGTTTTGGTCTGATTTCAATATAACTTGGCACACAAGTAGGCTACATTAAGATACTTCAAAGATTGCATCGGTTTTTGATTTCTATGAACGGTGTTGCCATGGTTACTAAAAATAGAATTTTCTGTGAAATTCCTTTAAAACGCTACTCCTCCTACAGTTTTGATCTGATTTCAATATAACTTGGCACACAAGTAGACTACACTAAGATACATAAAACAAGTGCATCGGTTTTTGATTTCGATGAACAGTGTTGCCATGGTTACTAAAAATAGAATTTTCTGTGAAATTCATTTAAAACGCTACTCCTTCTACAGTTTTGGTCTGATTTCAATATTACTTAGCACACAAGTAGACTACACTAAGATACATCAAATAGTGCATCGGTTTTTGATTTCAATGAACGGTGTTGCCATGGTTACTAAAAATAGAATTTTTAATGAAATTTTTTTAAAAGGATTCTCCTCCTACAGTTTTGATCTGATTACAGTATAACTTGGCACACAAGTACACTACACAAGATACATAAAACAGTGCATCGGTTTCGATTTCGATGAATGGTGTTGCCATGGTTACTAAAAATAGAATTTCTGTGAAAATCATATAAAATGCTACTCCTTCTACAGTTTTGTTCTGATTTCAATATTACTTGGCACTACAGTAAGATACATATAACACTGCATCGGATTTTGATTTTGATGAACAGAGTTGCCATGGTTACTAAAAATATTTATAAGTTTAGAATGCTTATTAAGGTAGTCCGATCCTCAGCTTCATAGAATCAACAGTTAAGTAATTAAAATACTCATAAAAATATCCCTGAATCCACAAAGTAAAGAAAATTTACTCACAGTTTTTCTGAAGTTAAAGATCTAGTAAATAACTTTAGACTAATTTTTTGGTGCTAGATCTATTATGACGTCATAATCAATTTCAACTTTCTTTTCCCCGTACTTTACGGCTTTAGCAGAATTATGTAGAGAAAAGGGTATTTTCATGACATTCAATTTGAAATCATATGAAAAGTTAACCTGATACCTATATTAAATTTGATATTGATTTAAAGAAGAGGCCATGAACATACTAATTACCATTTTCTGAGAGACTGTAGGCAATCTGGATACATTTCCTCTGTCAATTATGGAAAAACTCCCATATGCATGACTGGTTTTCTTAATTTTTCATTGAAAATGACAGTTTAAAATACAGTTTTTAATCTTGTTTACCAAAAAATTATACCCCGAAACACATTATTTGACCAAGCTAAAGTTATAAAGCATCAATAAAGAAATTTATCTCTCAAATTTGATAAATCTGTTGGCACCTTTCTTGACCTTAAAGTTAACCATGTTATATACATGTAGGGAAAATTGTCAAATCGCTAATATTTATGCAGAAAAATCGAATAGGAATATAAGTTATGCATTTTGTATTTGCAAATTGATCGATAAATATATTGTAGGTTAAAAAACAATAGGTATCCAGGCATTCAGATAAATTGTCATGATTTTTAAAAAAAAATTTTTGGTATTCTATATGTCTTCTATTTCCTTCATATAGTATATGCAAAGTGTAAAATGCTATTGCTATCATTGCAAGACATCACAAATCACTTCTAATTTCATATCATGCTAATTAGCATTGTTTTTTTTAGCCTCAATTCAGGAAAATCTTATTTCTCTAAAACTGTATTCAATTTTTTCCTTTTATGGGGTAAAATTGTCAACTTTTTATAAGACCTTCTCTAAGAATTCCAAAACCTTGAATCATATAAAATGAGAATTGTTGCATGAAAAATTTCATTTTCAAACTTAATAAAGTTACTGCATGACTCTAATATTTCTAGGGATTTAATCTACCATAAAACTTAGATTTAATGTCAGACTAGTTTTAGCCATTGTTCATTAAATAACTGACAAACCAACATGCTGACCTCACCTTCCCTCCAAAGTAAAATTATAAGTTTCAATGAATTAAATACAATATAAAATTAATCAATTATACAGTATCGAGTTATTTATAATTTGTTTTAACCTAATTCATTTGAAAAGTAAGGCTAGCCAACAAGACAATAAATGCCAAAGTTAGACTTCCTGTAGAAATGCAACGTGTATACAGATTTTTGACATCTTGAGTATTAGGGGTCTCCAGATAAATAACATTAGTACTACTAGGACCATTCCCCCTTCTCATGTATAACATTATAAAGGTGTACTAATGAAAAAGTTTTTTTCTTTTCCGCATTATTTATGGTTCCTTCCCTATTTTCCACAGGAAATAAGATTACCAAACAAATGCCCTTGTCAAAATTCAAATTGTATGAATTATTTCAAAGCTCAATGATGCTCAATTACGCACACCCTTTCCTATGCTTTACTATGGGCAGAGGGGTGTTTTCTTTAATTTTGGGGGCACTTCAAAGTTAAGACTCAATTTGGAAAAGGGCTTCCTCCCCTGCTTCTATAGAACATAATGGGTTGACCCATTACTGGTCAGAATGTTCACCTGTAAAAACACCATGTACCTGTATATTGGAGGTAGACAACCCCTGTATATTTAGGGTAGCTCTTGAACTGGGATATCTCCCTTGGGTATGGAGAACACAGTTTAATGAAGCCATTACTTGGGTATGGAGAACACAGTTTAATGAAGCCATTACTGGGGTGCAGTGTTTACCTACATGACACCTACATTGCCCTGTTAATTGGAGGTAAACAGTTATCTTGGTTAATTTTGGGTAGCTCTTAACAAGGATTAAGCAGAGCATTTTTAATTAATACGAGAATGTTTTTTCAACTGCAAGAACAAAGCACAATTAATCCCCCCCATTAAATTATTTTTCTTTAAATTTTAATATCCTTTTTAATTTTAACAATTTAAAATTTAATTTCTCTTTTAAATGGGAGGTCAACATTACCACTAAATCGTCAAAAATTTCAACTCATTACCGCTGCATTTTTTTCCTCAATTTTTGACTAATCATTACCGCTACATTTTTTTTTGGCTGAAAACAACTCATTACTGCAGCAGCTGCATAATAATATTGAATTAGCCAGGTATGTACGGAATATGAGTTCCAATAAATAGAATTCACTCAATGTGTAGTGAAGTACAGTAATTTTTTTTTCATTTTGAATTCTAAACAGAAGAATGAGAAGACTGTGAGTTTTAATTATAGACAGAGCTTGATTTAATTTTAAAAATTTTAAAAGTGTTTTATAAAATAAAATAAATTTCAAATAAAAAAAAAATCCAGCTCAAATACCTATTTTCACCTCCCTGTGGTGGTGAGCAGGAAACAGGACTTATACTTTTTTATGTTGTACTTTTAAATCAATCTGTACATACATACCAGTAAGTTGATGGCTAACAAAAGAGGCACTGTAGCGGTAAAGTATACTTTTATATGTAGCAGTAATGTAACGTTTTTTTGTATCGGTAATAACTATGTAGCGGTAATGTAAATTTCCATTGCAATGTAGCGGTATACATGTAATGGTATGCACCCTTTTAGATAACCAAAATAGATGGTATGAAGCTATGGGTATTACATAATTAAGAGTACATGCATCTCTAATTTTATTATTTATATGTATGTCTAAAATTATAAATTTAATATATTCCCTGTAATCTATTTTCAGATTGTCCATTTAGTTCTTAAAGGTATATCTTATATTTATGTACTTCAATACACAATTTACAATCATTATAATTTTTACTCTTAAAATATTTATTACATACAGTACTATTTTCAATAATATGCGATTAACCAAATTTATGCTACTTTAGGATATATTCTCATTGTTTTATTTTTTCAAAATTAAAGGAGCAGTGCATTAAAAAAATATCGGTCGGTATACAACACAAGTCCAAGGCCTCTTGTTTCTTATAATGCTTTCACCTATAATACAAAAGTATAGTCCAACTCTGTAAAAGATACATGGAATGGCCAACTTGATACTAATATATATAACAAGATAAAGAAATAATAACTAAATCCCCAAAACCTTTAAGGAATGAAATGCATGATCATGGATTAACTAATAGGTAGTCTGCATGGATATTGAATCAGCAACCACCCCATAAAATTATTTCATTTATCATATATGTTCATCTATATTGGTAATTATTACAAGTGATTAATCATTATTAAGGTTAATTGATTTGATTATGTTTTATTCTGTAATAAAACAAAAATGGAATGAGCAGCATTCCTTGACCATATAAGCCCTCAACACTCTGAATGACAAAAGGAGATACATGTAATTTCCTTTATTTGGTGCAACGTACTATAATGGTAGAATTTTAAAAATGTAAATAATATAATACCTCATCTCCAGAGTCCTTTATCCTTTGAACTTAATTTTTTTTACATATTTTGTAGTCGACTAAATGTAATTTAAAAGCATGCCAATATTTTGACAGCTTGGTGCCCAGGAGTAAGGAAAAATATTCTAATAATTGCATTTATGTTGATGGTTTTGGTCCCACACCTCAGGCCCTAGGGGTAAGAGATTTCCAAATCTGAAAAGTTTGCTCCCCTTTACTTTACTTTGCTTTGTGCCAAAATTGGTAGAAATTGGATAAGCTGTTCAAAAAAAGAAGCTGAAATGGTTCAAAAGACCAAAACTGTAGAAGGAGTAGCGTTTTAAATGAATTTCACAGAAAATTCTATTTTTAGTAACCATGGCAACACCGTTCATCGAAATCAAAAACAGATGCACTATTTTAAGTATCTTAATGTAGTCTACTTGTGTGCCAAGTTATATTGAAATCAGACCAAAACTGTAGGAGGAGTAGTGTTTTGAAAAATTGTTTACAGACAGACGGACAGACAGACAGACAGCTAGACAGATGGACAGACGACGGATGCATTACTATTGCATAAGCTCTTCTGGTCTCTGACCAGTAGAGCTAAAAAGAAGCTGAAATGGTTCAAAAGATTAGGAAACAGAAGAGCAGGAAGTACAACGTCGGACAATAACATATAGCAATAGGTCACCTGTGTGACTCAGATGACTAAAAATTGCACATATAAACCATAATTAGACTCATAAAAAATTAAATAAGATGTCATTGTGGTATCCTTGTGGTTCCTTGTGGTATCCTTGTGGTTCCTTGGGGTTCCTTGTGGTTCCTTGTGGTTAAAAGACATACCCTAAATTTTAAATACTGAGATGTGGTTTATCAGCTGTAAGCTACAAGAAGTTTTATGTAAAAGCTAGGGCTGAAACAATTTGCCCCCTCCATGTTATGTGTGTATTGTCGTGATTGACATACAATCAGTTCTCTAATACCGGTACATGCACTACAGTAAAACTTTGTCATCTCGAACCTGAATTGAAGAGGAAAAAACTTTGAGATCTCTCAAAAAATTTGAATGAAAAAGAGGAAATGTTATTAACTGATTTCTTGCTGGTCAGTATTTTGATGACTTTAAGGAAGCTCTAAAAACTGCACACTAAAGAGCTCTACTTTAATATTGGGTAGTTTTATGCAGTTAGAGTGATCTGCCCTTAGATTGAGATTAAGAAAAATTTTATTTTACAGTCAGTTGGATTATTTGTAATAGATTAAATTATTTTTAGCATTATCTAAAATCAAAAATAAAGAAATTAATTGATTATTTTCATAAATTTTCCAAATGTATTAAGTAAACAGCAATTATTTCTGCTCACAAATAGTCCATTGTCTTTGAAAATTTCTTGGGGAAATGATGCACATACAATATGTTCTAAATGAATAAAAAAGGCTCATTATGCACATCTTTATATGATAGATTTTTTTCTCTCCAAAGATTAATTTCTGTAAGTCTGACACTAAGTTTTTAGAGTTTCCTCAATTTTTTAGATATATGTATTCAATGAAATTATTTGAAGTATTAAATTTTGGTAAATTTTATGATAGTAAAACGTTATATGGTTGAAAATACTTTAAAAAAAACAAAACAGCATGCATGCATGACAATAGGACTTAAATTTTTAATGTCTCTTAATTTTTCAATGACATTAAAACAGGAATTGTCATCACCAATAGACAAATTTCACATTGCTAAGAGTTGTCTCCAATTGTCGGTGTATCGCTCATTTTTCTCAATTTGTCCTTTGTAAGTTACTTGTTAATATTTTCAATCTTCAAACGATATTGGACAATTACGATCTGTATCTGTATGGCCAGAGTATGGGGCAACATGAAAATCATAATGAACATGTTCATACAGATTTCATTTCTAAGATATTGACCCTCAAAGTTGGTAAGGTTATAGAGGGAAAACAGCGTCTTAAGCCGGTTGACCCGATTGACCCTGCAAAGGGGAATAACTTTTGTAAATGTGAAAGTTGTCTATGGTATATCATATAGATCTAAAACTGACTGAATTTTGATCCGCCAATTCATTATGATGAGTGGATGTAAATAATGTTGGTCAATTTTTGTAAAAAAAAAAAAATAAATAAATTACTTGTTTATAAACCGAGTGTACATGCAATACTGGCATAAAATTACTCATAAGATGTATACTTGCACCATGATAAAAGCACATGTGTCCAATGCAGCATATGATAAATCAGTAACATACAAGTACATGTATATCTATACCGTAATACATATATATTGCATTGTTTTTAGAATCCTGTTCTGTGGATGCCCTTAGAAAGTGTGTCTACCCATCACGCCATCTGATATCACTTGTTCTGAGCATATTTCTCTCTCAAACTTAAACTACAGAGAGCCTGTGGATAGAGGATGAAGAGTGACCTTGGACTAATTTTCTATGTCAAAGGTCAGTATCAAAATGTACTGTATATCTTTATTCAAAGTCGTAGTCCAGAGAACATTTCTTCCTTTGTGTAATCTAGCTTTTATGCAATGGGGTGGAGGGTCTGCAATGATCTTCAACCAATTTTTTAGGTCAAATATCAAAATTAAAAAAAAATTCTCTCTCTAATATTTTTGATATTATAAAGAGTATGTTTTCTCTCAAAATAATTTAACTTAAAGCAGGGTTCTATGAAATTGTAATATATTCTCAATGACATAATAAGGCTGAAAACATTATTTATATTATGTAATATTTTTTTCCTTATCATAAAGCATTAAATTTTAAAGAGACACATTAAATGTTGAAATCATTTGTATCATGGTCATGGAAAGTAATTATTGATATTGGTATATTAAAGAACATTGACTGATCTTTCAGATTTCTAAGTTATATTCAAGCATTATAATTCTGACACATCATATGATAATTTTGTATGAATATTGCAGATCATAGGTGTTGTGAAGAAAATATCAGGGAACTGATGTTGAAAGAAGTACTTAATGACACTTATGAATGGACTTACATGTGAAAGACTGTTCCATTGTTTATCTAAGATATATGAATTTATTTAGTATTTTGATAACATTGAAAAATACTGTTACAGTTTTAGTACATCAAATGAATTATTAAACATATAAAATGGTAATGCTTTTTTCTTTTACATGTAATAATTTTTTTGATAGTTTTTTGAAAAGAATACACATTATTTCACATCGCTTCCTTTAGAAAAGTTAGGGAATCTTGAAGTTTCCCAGTAATTTCAACCAGGAATGGGACTCCAGATAATTCCACCAAGTTTCCGCCACACAGAAACTGCTTCACAAGTTCCATATAGTTTCCTGAGTCAAGGAAACTTTAGGAATCGTAAGGTTTCACGAGCTTCCATGTAGTTTCCCGTAGTAGGAAACCTTAAGATTCCATCAAGTTTCCATTCCACGGAAACCACTACGCTCCAATTCCATGTGGTTTCCCGAGTCACGGAAACTTTGGGAATCGTGAGGTTTCCCAAGCTTCCATGTAGTTTCCCGTAAAAGAAAACCTAAAAATTCCACCAAGTTTCCATTCCACGGAAACCACGACGCTCCGATTCCATATGGTTTCCTGAGTCACGGAAACTATATGAATCGTGAGGTTTCCCGAGCTTCCATGTAGTTTCCCATAAAAGGAAACCTAAAGATTCCACCAAGTTTCCATTCCATGGAAACCACTACGCTCCGATTCCATCAAGTTTCCTGATTCTGGAAACCAGTGGAATCTTCAAGTTTCCCATTACGGGAAACTAAATGGATGTTCGGGAAACTTCAGGTTTACAGAGGTTTCCGTGGTTCGGGATACCTTATGGAATCGGAGCGTAGTAGTTTCCGTGTCACGGAAACTTGGCGGAATAACCTGGCATCCGCTGCGGAAACCACTGGGAAACGATGTAAACTTGAGGTTTCCATGTGGTTTCCATAAAGTTTCCCATGATGGGAAACCTTATTTTTCACCCAGTGTGTGGTTGTTGAAAATTATGAGAATTACATTCAAAATTTTACTCCTAACAGTTATGGTATAATTTTTATATAATGCGGCGTTCAAGTAGACTACACCGAGATACATAATTCTCTTCATTGTTTTTTATTCTGAACAATGATATTACCATGGTGACTAAATTTAAAATTTCTGTAAAATTCTTTTAAAAGGCTGCTCCTACATTTTTAGCTCTACACCAGAAGAGCTTACGATATAATTCTCTTAAACAATTCAAAACGTTTTTTCAATATAACTTGGCACACAAGTAGATACATTACCATCGGTTTTTGATTTCGATGAACGGTGTTGCCATGGTTTAAAATTTCTGTAAAAAAATTCTTTTCAATATAAGGCACACTGCTACACCTACATTTTTGAGATGAACGGTGTTGCCATGGTTACTAAAAATAGAATTTTCTGTGAAATTCCTTCAAAATGCTACTCCTTCTACAGTTTTTGTCTGATTTCAATATAACTTGGCACACAAGTAGACTACACTAAGATACATAGAATAGTGCATCGGTTTTTGATTTCGATGAACGGTGTTGCCATGGTTACTAAAAATAGAATTTTCTGTGAAATTCCTTAAAAACGCTACTCTTTCTACAGTTTTTGTCTGATTTCAGTATAACTTGGTACACAAGTAGACTACACTAAGATACATAGAATAGTGCATCGGTTTTTGATTTCAATCGGTGTTGCCATGCACAAAAAAAGAGACTTCTACAGTTTTGGTCTGATTTCAATATAACTTGGCACACAAGTAGACTACACTAAGATACTTATCGGTTTTTAACTGCTGTTGCCAAAGTGAAATTCCTTAAAAACGCTACTCTTTCTACAGTTTTTGTCTAATTTCAGTATAACTTGGTTCTAAGATACATAGAATAGTGCATCGGTTTTTGATTTCGGTGAACGGTGTTGCCATGGTTACTAAAAATAGAATTCTCTGTGAAATTCCTTTAAAACACTACTCCTTCTACAGTTTTGGTCTGATTTCAAAATAAGTTGGCACACAAGTAGACTACACAAAGATACATAAAATAGTGCAATGGTTTTTGATAAGTACAAACCAGTAGAGCTAAGTCGACAGAGACTTCTGGTTACAGAGACTTAGAGACAGGAAATGCCATTCTAGTCTTATTGCAATCAAACAAAAAGAGACTGAATCAAGGATCATTCTTATTACTGCTGTTGCAAAGTTTCAAGTCCTACTTCTACTCTTCTCTTCCTTTGTTATAAGTACAATAAAGAGCTTATGCGATAGTCAGAGACCAGAAGAGCTTATGCGATAGTAATGCGTCCGGCGTCTGTCCATCTGTAAACAATTTTTCAAAATGCTACTCCTCCTACAGTTTTGGTCTGATTTCAATATAACTTGGCACACAAGTAGACTACACTAAGATACATAATTCTGTGTATCGGTTTTTGATTTCAATGAACGGTGTTGCCATGGTTACTAAAATAGAAATTTTCTGTGAAATACCTTTAAAACGCTACTCTTTCGACAGTTTTGGTCTGATTTCAATATAACTTGGCACACAAGTAGACTACATTAAGATACATAAAATAGCGCATTGGTTTTTGATTTCGATGAACGGTGTTGCCATGGTTACTAAAAATAGAATTTTCTGTGTAATTCCTTTAAAACGCTACTCCTTCTACAGTTTTGGATTTCTGCATTTCAATATAACTTGGCACACAAGTAGACTTTCAAAACATTAAGATATTTCAATATAATAGGCAAAATAGTGCATTGGTTTTTGATTTCGATGAACGATGTTGCCATAGTTATTAAAAATAGAATTTTCTGTGAAATTCCTTTAAAATGCTACTCCTTCTACAGTTTTGGTCTGATTTCAATATAACTTGGCACACAAGTAGACTACACTAAGATACATAAAATAGTGCATTGGTTTTTGATTTCGATGAACGATGTTGCCATGGTTACTAAAAATAGAAATTCTTGGAAGTACTTTCAAAATGCTATTCCTCCTAAAGTTTTGATCTGATTTCAATATAACTAGGCACACAAGTAGACTACACTAAGATACATAAAATAGTGCATTGGATTTTGATTTCGATGAACGATGTTGCCATAGTTACTAAAAATAGAATTTTCTGTGAAATTCCTTTAAAACGCTACTCCTTCGACAGTTTTGGTCTGATTTCAATATAACTTGGCACACAAGTAGACTACATTAAGATACATAAAATAGTGCATTGGATTTTGATTTCGATGAACGATGTTGCCATCGTTACTAAAAATTGAATTTTCTGTAAAATTCCTTTAAAATGCTACTCCTTCTACAGTCTTGGTCTGATTTCAATATAACTTGGCACACACGAAGACTACACTAAGATACATAAAATAGTGCATCGGTTTGTACAGTGTTACCATTGTTACTAAAAATAGAAATGTCTGTGAAATTCCTTTAATATGATACTCCCTTAACAGTTTTGGTCTGATGACAATGGCTTCTTTTCCCATCCTTTGTTATAAGTACAAACCAGTAGAGCTACAGTTTCGACAGAGACTTCTGGTTTTTTCATGGAATAAAAAAAATGGTATGTTAGACAGCTACCTCCCACATTGCCACAAGCTGTCACTGTTTCCATGTAGGGTGTTTAGTTTCTTTGCAACAAGCTATCACTGTTTCCATGTAGGGTTTTTGTTCCTTTATTTGCAACTTCCTTTGTTGACTTGTGCACAGTAACCCCCCCCCCCCCCCCCCGGTATATGTATTCATCTTTTTCATAAATTTATCTTCTAGTACACATTTACATTGTATTCCATATGAATAATACAGAAAATAACGTAGAATTAACGTTTCATTAAAAATCAGATCCGCAGTATAACAAAATAAGTGACTTCCATTTGTTATCAGTGGATCCCTCTCGGATATCTGGCCTAAACAATCATATACCTACTACATGTAACCAAAATGATATTTTGTTTCGGTAAATATTTTTGTCTTTAATAGTGCTATTTAATTGCCTAGGCATTTCGCAATGACCCGAGTATTTAGCGTCAAACATGAAAAATGCTCCAAAATTTGGAAATGTCAACGCAGAAATTACGGAAATAATACAAAAACGACATCTAGCGGGTAATTCTTGAGTAAAAACATTCACAATATTATTCGGACTTGCTCTCTTGCTTACAATCTATACAAAATAAGAATGTTGATCAACCTTACATTAAAGATATATAGTGCAACAAGGTAAAACAGTAAACTTTTGTTGGATTCCGAGTCATGTCTGCATTCTTGGAAACACTAAAGCCGACAGTGCTGCAAAAGCTGCACTTCATCATGAAATTACTTTATTCGAAATTCCTTACACCGATTTTAATTATCTCGTTAAAATTTATGTTGATTCTTTACGGCAAATTTATTGGAAATTTTGTGATGAAAGTAAGCTTTATGCTAATGAAAACAAAGTTAACAAATCATCATCTTCGGTCTGAAACGTCAAGACGAAGTAATTATATCAAGAATACGTATTGGTCACTCAAAAATCACACATGAATACATATTGAATCGGGAGTCTCAGCCAGAATGTATATCCTGTGACTGTCCGATCGATAACTATAAATCACGTCCTTTTGGAGTGTTCCGATTTTACACCTATTCGAAGTAGACGTTTTGGAAGTGTATAAAAACAATGTATGAACTTTTTACAAATGTTCATGTTTATAATATTTTAGAATATCTACAAGAATCTGATTATTATAGTAAAATTTGAATAAACTATAAATTAATTTTTATGAGAAATACATATTTTAATTTATTTTATAACAGCTTAAAAAATATTTTGATCAGTTAACATATTTTTAAAGTAATTAAGTCCGTTGGATGGGACGTAAAATGGTGCCCCGTGTCAAGGATGACAACCCCCTTTGCACGTAAAAAATCGTTTCTCTGGAGTTCGAAAAAGAGTAGGCTCATTGAGGGCCGCCAGAGAAACCAACATTTTTCAAAAACCGATTATATAAACTAATACCCCGAAACATGG